CTCTAAAAAACAAACAAAAAATGAAATAAAAAACCACTAGGCATTATAGAAGGGTAACTCTGTGAAACATATTCACTCCACCATCCTGATCCTAATACACATACGCATAGTTTACCATATGTTATTTCCTAAAGATCCCAAGTTACCTAAATTTTATACATCAGATTGGGGAAATTAGGTTCCTATGGATAATGAAGAAGAAACATAAAACTTTAAAGAGCACAAAAAATCCAAGATGATGTAGAGAACATTCTAAACCAATTAGTTCAGAAAAATGAAAAAAAAAAAAATGCTTTAAACACCAAGATGTTCAGAAATATTTACCCTTGAATGTCAGATCCCTGGTTCAGATATAAAGAAACAGGGACAAATTTCTAATTTTTCTATTTGGGGGCATAATTTGCTCTGAGTCTTTTTAACCACTTCGGTATGTCAACTATAGTCAATAGCCACAGATGAATGTGCACAGTGACTCAAGCCAACAGCCGTGATATGACTTTTCTAATTTTTCATTTATCAAAATAAAATTATGAACATTTAAAAATAACGTAATAAAAACATATATGTATGTTACCTATTCCGATTTACATTACAGGTAAATCTGCCTGTAAAGTAAAACAAGCCTTCAGTGCTTTAAAGCTTTCTTCATCACACAAGAGCAAAACAGATTTGTCATCAATGCACAGCACAAACTATCGTGCGGACTATGCATGTAGGCTGTGGGCAAGGTTTTGCAGCCGGTGAGTGCCGAACCAAAGTGACTAAATATTAGGCCTTCATACAGCTAACATCAGGTTTCTGTAGATTGCATTTCTCCATCCCTACACACGATCAACACTACCAGAAAACTCCACTCTAGTGCTCCCAGCCAGACATACTGGGAATGCAGGGTTCCCTTCTGACCCATCAGCCCATGACTGATAGACATTGAGGCAGAAGAAGAGGGCACAAAAAATGCTGACCACAAAGATGCTCTGCTCCTCCACAGGCCTTTACCAAAACGTGAAAAGGCAAGGAAGGCACCTGGAAGGCACAGGTGCCTCATTTAAGTCATCTTATTAGAGTAGGAGACAGGGCTGAGATCAGATGCAGGGGCTTGAAGATTGGGTACAGGTGTTAAATAACCTTAAACAAAAGGGGCTGATAACCTCATGCAAGAACTGGCTTCAACTGGCTTGTCAGCTATCTCTGTCACTTTACAAGAACTTTGGCTAATTACAATACTATTTACATTGCAGTTTTAAACATTCTCCACCCTTGAAATTGCCATGACAGTACTGAAACAACCATATAAGGTATGAAAAATTGGAGGAAACCCAATTCTAGGAATTACTATCCAAATGTTTAGCAAAAGCCAACCCCTTTGATTTGAATATTCTTCCCCTCAATCAGTAAGACTACAAAAGATCTAAAACCACTTCCTCTTGGGGCAGCTGCTCTCTTTCAAGCCTGCCTGCTTTCCTCCCTGAGAGTGTACTTTCACTTTCAATAAAAAGCTGTTGCTTGCTTTTCTTACATGGTGCATCCTGAAATTCTTTTCCTGATGAACACCAAGAACCCAAAAAACCTCCACTCAGAGGTCAGTAACAATCTCACCACCTGAGCTGAGAGCAGCTAAGAATTATAGGATTAAAAACAAATGTAATGTCTTGTGGGACTGGGAGAAAAGATTTGCATAACACATCTGGTAAATGCAAATTAAAACCATAATTAGATACCACAAAACACCTATTAGAATGGCTAAAATTCTTAATTTTCTAAGTTAATACCAAGTCTTGGCAGAGATGCAAAACATGGAAATTTTCAAACATTGCTGGTATGAGTGCAAAATGGTACAGCAAATTTGGAAACAGCACTAAAAAAAAAAATACATTTACAATAAGATCCAGCAATCTCACTCCTATATATTTACCCAAGAGAAACAAAAACTTATGTTCACACAAAAACCTGTATGCAAATGTTAGTGGCTTTATTCATAATCACAAATAATCGGAAACAACTTAAATGTCCTTCATTTGGGAAACTAGTGAACAGACTGTAGCACATACATCCCATACAATGAAACACCACTCAGCAATAAAAAGAAACCACTGATACACACAACATGGATGCATCTCAAATGCATTATGCTAAAGAAGCCAGACTCAAAAGGCTATATGCTGTATGATTCAACTTACATGACATTCTGGAGGTGGCAGAACTATGGAGATAATAAATAGGTTAGTGATGGCCAGGAATAGGTTTGGTAGGAGGGGATTTTTATGGTGATATAACTGTTCTATGCTTTAATTGTGATGATTTTATTTATCAAAAAATCATAAAGCTGTATAGTAAGAGGTGAATTTTGCTGAAAAAACTAAAGCAGTTCATAACAATAAAATCTGTCATGTGTAAGAAACTTTAACCCACTCAACTGATAAGAGAAAGCTCAGGAAGGGTGTGATGTGAGGTAACGAGAGCAGTAGGATGAGAATTTCCCACCACTTCAATGTTTTCCAGTATTTTTTACCTTGATCCTCAGTAAGAAATATATATTATTTTCTATTGCTGCTATAATAAATTACCACAAATTTAGCAACTTAAACACTACTTATTTATCTTACAGTTCTGGAAGTCAGAAGTCTGGCATGTGTGCCTAGATTCCCTGCTCAGGGTCTCACAAGGCCAAAGTGAGGTGTCAGCTGGCCTGGGCTCTTATCTGGAGATTTGCAAATCCATTTCCAAGACCAAGTTACTGGCAGATTCTGTTCCATGCAGTTGTGGAAATAAAGCTATTTCCTTGCTATCCATCATCACTCTCAACTTCTGAAGCCTGCTCATGTTTCTTGGCTTATGGCCCCCTCCATCTTCAAAGCCAGCAACACCAGGTCTTGTCCTTTTTATGCTTTGAATCTTTCTGATAGCCTCTTCTGCCATACCTCTACAACTTCCTCTTCAATTATACCTTTGGCTAGGAGAAAGCTGTTTTAAAAAACTCATGTGATTACTCTGGGCCGGCATGGACAATCTAGGATAATCTACTTTAGAGTCCATTGATTAGTAACTTTAATTGTATCTGCAACATCTTTTGCCACATAATGTAACATATTCAAGGGCATAACGCCAGGGAAAAGGAGGTCATGGGGGCCAAAAATCTGCCTAACACATACATTTTATACAATGACCTCATACATACACACACCTAAATGAAACAAAAATTAAAGTACCCTTACTAAACTCAACGCTCTGATGTTATATTTTTAAACGCTGGTGACAACACACCACATTGATTCCATGCCCCTCTAATGAGCTGCAACTGAAAATTTGAGTTTATCTTGAAAAAAAGGCCAGCATGCCCTTTTAAATTCCCATTTGCAACAATGGGAGCCTATCGGAAGGGCCTCTGGGGGCTGTGTAGTACCTGAAATTCTGTGCAGTTATGGGACTAATCACAAGAAAAACAGACAAACCCAGGTTAGAAAAACTTACAGAACACCTGGCCAGTACTACTCAATGCTGTTAAGGTTGTGAAAAATAAGGAAAGACTGAGAAACTTTAACAGACCAGAGGAGGCTATGGAGACAAGTAAATGCAATGTAATAACCTGGTTTGGATCCTAAAACAAAAAAGGGATATTAATGGGAAAATTGGTGAAATCCAAGTAAAGACTGGAATTTAGTATATATGTCAATATAAATGTCAGTTTCTTAGTTTTGACAAACGTAACTGGTAATGTTAAGACGTTAACAATGGGTGAACTAGGTAGGGGGTAGATGAGAATTCAGTACCTTTACAACTTTTCTGTAAGTCTAATATTATTCTAAAATAAAGTGTATTTTTAAAATGGTACAGGACTGAGCATGTGTGCACCATTCTAAGAAACAAACCCCATGGCCTTCCTATCTTCAAAGTGATTCACAGTCGCAAAATATTTAAAAACCGTTATCTGGGGCTTTCTGCTGCTTTCTTTAATGGCAAATTTCTAAGTACTCTGCCTCCTTCCTGATATGTCACCCACATCTTTCCTCAAAACCAAAATTGAGGGGCTGTGGGTGGGGGTGGGGGAATGGGAAGTTACGGTTTAATAGGTATGAAGTTTCAATTTGGGAAGACTTAAAAAAGTTCTGGAGATAGATGATGATGATGGTTGCACAACAATGTGAATTATTTAATGCCACCAAACTATATGTTTATTATAACAATGGTTAAATTTTATATATAATTTGCCACAATTTGGGTAAACCTTAAAAAAAAACTGAAAAAAGCCAAACATTAAATGAAAAAAACAACAAAAGACAACATATTATGATTCTATTCATATGAAAATGTTCTAAAATTGATGGTAATGATTATTGCATATAACTGTAAACATATGAAATACCACTGAATTATACACTTTAAAGTGGTCAACTGTATGGTATGTCAATGCCTCAATAATTAAAATCGCTAAGGCCAGGCACTGTGGCTCATGCCTGTAATCCTAGCGCTCTGGGAAGCCAAGGCGGGCAGATTGCTCGAAGTTAGGAGTTTGAAAACAGCCTGAGCAACAGTAAGACCCCGTCTCTACTATAAATAGAAAGAAATTAATTGGCCAACTAATATATAGAGAAAAAATTAGTCGGGCATGGTGGTGCATGCTTGCAGTTCCAGCTACTCGGGAGGCTGAGGCAGCAGAATTTCTTGAGCCCACAAGTTTGAGGTTGCTGTGAGCTAGGCTGATGCCATGGCACTCACTCTAGCCTGGGCAACAAAGCGAAACTCTGTCTCAATCAATCTGTTAAAACATTTTAACTGGTTTTCAATCTAGGACCACATTTATTTGAACGCCTAAGCACCAGTGGCATTCTGTAAATTCTGAAACCACCTTCTCGTGATGTGGTGGAAAAATGAAGAACAAAATTAATGAAAGGACTGCAGTGTAGAACAGCTGTCAGGGAAGATCAGGAATGCCTGTGACTGGGCCTGGTGGCTCTCCAGTCATAGGGGTAAGAACAAAGGCAAGATTATAAAACACATTACACTGAAGTTGACCAATGACCTTTATTCTGGTCCTCGTTTTTCCGTAAGCCACTTATGCAGAACACTTTCTTCATCTCTGCTCCAAACAGCAGCAGCTGCAACCAGGCCAGACATGGAAGACAGATATAAGTTGTGGAAGACCTTGTAGAGAAAAGCTACCAGATGAGATCTCTGCTCATCCTGGCATAGGTGAAGGTAGAACAGGGAGAGTGTAAGTGCAAAGACTCTGTTCTTCAAAGCTGAGGCCTCTAGAGAGGGACGAGCTGGAGGATGCAGATGAACGCTCACAAAACTGCCCGGCCAGCAATCAATCCAAAGTACCTAAATATACAAAGAGCAGTGAGTAAAGCAAGGTGCCTCTGGATTAGTGTACCAAACTGGACAAAGTGAAGGCAGAAGGGGCTTCGATATTGGCAGCAGTTCTCTAAGACCAAAATACTAATTTTGAGGAATATCTATCTGACAGATCCCTGGGAAAAAACATGTCATTACAGAGGGTGAGCAGTTAGGAATTAAGCATGCTGATTTGGAGAGTTAGAATTAAAGGTAGGAGAAAAGCTAAGAAGTTGTTGTCAATGAGCATCTGTGAAGACCATATAAAGGGAGGATGAGTGATATAAAATAAATTCTCTAAGCAAAGAACATATAATCTTTTTAGAAAGTTCCAGTTTATGACGAGGGACTGAACTCACAAGTTTGTATGCATCCCCTCCCAACCCAAGATTCCATTCAAAAGGAAAAAGGGTTTAAAAAGGTATAAATCTACAACAAAGGATAGGGGCTCAGCAGCAGTTAAGGGGTTTCAACAAAAAACTGAATAACAGAAATGTGACTGAAGTATGTTTATAAATAGAGCAGAGTAAAAATCAGCTTAGAATGAACACAGAGGGGGGGCTGCAGCCAAGGAGGGGGGTCTGTATGTCCAGGAAAACCATAGGGAGGCTCCAGACTCAGTCACCAGGAATGACAGAAAGAGACCCAAGACAAAAACAGGGTTAATGATCCATGGGTGTGTATGAGAACAGCTGTTGTCATCTCCCCACAACTCTTCCTACCTGTAACACTACCAGAAGACAGGTATTTAAACCTAACTTGGAAAAAAGGTCACAGGGCTTTCTTCTAAAGAATCAAATGGACTATCTGGAGAGAACTAAAGCAGCTTCTGAAAATGCCAGCTCCTCACACTAAAGCCTTCCGTATTCTGGTCCTGTGGACTCCCAGCATGACATCTGGTCCCACCTCTGTTCACCCTAAAGTAAAGCTGCCAGGCCACAACCACCCTCCACCCATCCACACCTTCCAAACAGCCTTCTTATTCTTTCATTCTTAAGAGAATGAAAATCACCAAGTATTTGAAGAAAGTCTACACAGTGAAAGGAGAGACCAAAATGCATTTGGGGGGATGGTGGGGAGAAGACCTGGATAATACTACCATATAAGCAAAGATAATGAACAAACTAGAGCTATGCACAACCACATAGATGAATCTCATAAATGTATTAAATTAAATCAGCATGGGACAGATGCTGACCAATGAATAAAAATGTCTTGGTTCCATTTATAGAAACTTAAAAAAAAAACTAAACCCTAGTGTTTCAAGACGCATACTCATGTGGTAAACTATAAAGAAAATCAAGTAATTACCAAAAACATCACGGTATACAGGGAAAGGGGATGAGAATAGATAAAGAAGGAACATATGTGGGACTTCTGGGAGTTGACAATATTCTACCACTTGGCCTAGGTGGTGGTTACAAGAGTGTTCATTCTATTATTTATTGACTATACATTTATAGCACACACTTTACATATGCATTATACCTCATAAGACTTAGAAAAGAATATATACACACACACATAGAAATGTATTTGCATAAAACATCCAGAAGATTACACAAGAAAAATTAGTGACTGTCATCTGCAGGGAGGGGGCCTGAATGAGGGATTAAGGGACAGAAGGTAGAGGAAGACTACTCACAACACTGGTTTTCAACTTCAACTTCTACTTCTACAACCAGGGATAAAGTATGGAAGATTTAATTATGCTAACATACAAATGTTATCAGCCTTGACAATATCAAAATACTAGCATAAACAACACTAACTGAGAACTAGAAATGAGCTAAAAGGGAGAAAGGAAGGGACAGGCATACTAATAGTCATACCTTTCAAAGTGGGCAGTCAAGAAATACATTAAAAGTTGGATACAACAACAATAAAAGATATGTTAGTATGTTATATAAGCTATAAAGATAAAAAAGAAACTAAAACTAGTGATATAACTACCAAAAATCAGAAAGGAGGGAATGAATTTATGGGATACTGTAAGTTAGCCAAATTTTAATTTGTCACTACAGGAAGTCAATACATAATGTCTATCATTGATAAATCAAGGGATGAGCACATTTGTTAGAAATATAAGTAACCACCAGAAAAGCTAAAAAGCAGCAGCAATAAAACAGTGGGCAGACAGCAGCTTCACTTTATTATAAGCCATTAGGTAACTATTTGGTTTTTAAACATGGATATGTATTGCCTTGCTTAAAAAAGGGGAAAAAAAATTATCTACTTAGGCCATGCACATCTAAGATGTAAGAACATTTATTTTACCAGGTAGAAAATAATATAATACAGATTGAATCCACAGGGACTACTGGAAAACTGCATAAGAACTCTCCACAGAGCAGCAGTGTTATGTATTTAAAATACAAATTTGATCACATCACTCATCTCTGTGAAAAGCTGGTAATTAACAATGAACAGGTAAAGTAGGCTCCAAAAATATTTGACTGGAAAACTTATAGGGAGTCCGTGACAAGAAGCTGCATGACTTAGGTAGGCAACAAAAGTTGTCTTTAAGAAAAATGAGCAAGCAGAAACAGGGACTAAAGAAAGATCTATAAATTAAGAGAATATTCAATAATCTAGGTATCAAGTTCGCCATGGGAATGTATCTAATAAGACATTTAAGAAATATATATCAAAGGACCAGGGGCCTAGGTTGATATGGAGATGCAGAACAAAGGAGTGAAAAAGAGTGGAATAAATCGAAAAAAGATTTCTGAAGGTAATGAGGCTTGAAGGAGGTAATCAGAACACCCTGGTAGGGTAGAGGTGAAAATGAATTGGGGGCACATGGCTTCTGAAAAGCTATCCAATCAAAATATAGTCATGTGTCACTTAGCCACAGGGATACATTCTGAGAAATGTGTCACATCTTTAGGTGATTTCGCCATTGTGCGAACATTATAGTGCACCCAGATGGTACAGCCTACTTCACACCTAGGCTATATAGTGTAGCCTATTGATCCTAGGCTACAAACCTGCATAGCATGTTACTGTACTGAATACTGTAGGCAAATGGAATACAATGGTAAGCATTTGTGTATCTAAATACAGAAAAAGTAATGCATTTCACTGTGATGTTAATTAAGATGGCTCCGTCACTTGGCAAGGGCAACAGGAATTTTTCAGTTCCATTATAATCTTAAGGAACCACCATCATCTATTCAGTCAGTAGCTGACCAAAAAGTCATTATGCAGCACATGACTGTATGTGAAGAGTAAGCTGATCAGATTTAGGAATTAAGTAGAAGTAGCTCTGAGAGAAGGTAGCTAATACCTCTGAGAGAGGTATTTCAAATACTTGCTATCTCGATGACAAAATGTAGTACACAAGTTAATCCCTGACTCCTAAGAACAAATATACAGGCAAGTACAGAATCTCACTGCAAAAAAATCATCACTTTACACAGAATGTTGAAGAAAAAGGAACAACAGGTGACCCTTTAAATGCTGGCAATTGCTTCTGACCTCTAACATTATGATAATGAGGCATGATTTTTATTTAGGGATGGAAACCAAAGTAGGAATCAAACTTTTGAATCTATCTAATGCCACTAGGGTCTTTACAGCCCTTCCCGTTGCTTTATGGTTAGCAATTTTCCAAATGAAATTCTAATTCCCCAAGGAAGGAAACTCAACCTCAGTAGGCTTAGCAAGTTAGTTTTTCCTATCCTAATAACAAGTAGGGAGAAAGAATTATTCCTACACAAGAAAGAACCAGACATTCATTTTATAAGGTTTTGAACTCACATCATTAACATGAAAAATACAGGTGGAAATGATTGCTGACTGATAGAGAACTCACCTTCCAGAAAAGCAAATTCATCCACTGCTTCTATTGCATTATCTGAAACAAAAGGTAACGGAATACCTGACTAACTCCGGTTATACAGATATCAGTTCACAAACAGCACAACCCACACAGTGAAGGCATGAGGCTTTACACAAATGAGGGATTTATAAAATGAGACCCTTGCTGTCTTGTGATCCATTTGGACTCCACCACCAACTCTCACTGGCCTCTCTACTAGAGCAAGAAAAGCCTAGGCAAATACTATTCAACAGGAGGGCAGGGAGGATGGAACCCTCTGACAACCCTGGCTTACTCCTAAATTTATTTATTCTCTTTGCTCTAAAAGTCATCAGAGAAGAGTATAGCAACATAACAGGGAGTGTGAGAATACAGTATGTGAAAGTTTGTGAGGGTTACCAGCCAGACAATAGTCAGAAATCCAACCCCCATTTGCTAGGTAAAAAAGAAATGTCTTTTTCTGGTACAATATGGCAGAAGGTATGAAGGGTCAGCTTTGGCAACCCCCACACACCTTTCAGCCTCTGCTCCACCACTCATCCCTCCTGCCCCCAAAGCATAGAGACTCTAAAGGTAGGGCTTTCTGACATTGTGGCAACCCAATACAAAACATCACAGGGGGAGACCCGGTGGCACCTCTCAGACCAGAGGGAAAGGGGAAGCCTTGCCCAGCCCTCCCTCCCTTGGCTGCCCCCAGACACCACAGTGCCACTCTACCCAAATCTCTCCTCTGGAGGGTTTTCCTCTTTCCTTGTTGAGCACAGCAGTAGGCATCTTTTGCAATGGTCTCCACAAACAGTTCCTGTGAAGCAAACAAGCAGAGTTCTTGCAAGGTGTTATAGCACACTGAGGACGTGGGCACTTTGGTTTGTGAGTCAGGGGAGGGAGGGAAAAGGGAGGCTCAGGCGCATGGGGATGTTCTGGAAGCTAAGGTGGTCCTGGACTTCAAGAAGGTCGACTTGGCTACCCTCTCCTCCAGTACACCAGAATGACACGTCCCTCTTCCCTTACTTTTAAATCAACACCACTCACTCACTAGAGACTCCTACAAGTTCTGTGTTAGACACTGTAAATGAAAATTAAGGTCGTTGCCCGGGCCCTTAACAAGAGTCAGGTGTGTTGACAAACCAATACAACTCCTGCAGGTTCCAGATCCTCCTCCCGCAGCCGGGTCTACACTGGCGTCTCAGAATCCCGCCCAGGCCGCCGCCAAGCCCCGCCCTCGCCACACTCCCCCGCCCGCCCTCGTGCTCCTGTCGCACCGCCGCTCGCGCCAGGATAAAGATGGCTTCCTGTCCTGCCAGCGTCACGTCGGGGTCCGCCTTCACCAAGGCTTTCACTCGCGCCAGAGGCAGCCTCGAGAGACGAGCCCCAGGCGCACTAGTCGGGGCTTGGGGCTGCGGAGTCGCTGCCTCTCCACCAGCTCCTTCCTCCTCCCGGGGAGTCCCGCT